ACGCCACTTCTTCAAAATAGACTCGCCCAGGCCGAAAACCGACTTCTGCGCATGGGCCACGAAGTTTCAATCGCACTGTACATCCACCCGCATGTGGTATTTTGTGGAAGAGCCACGCTCAAGGGCCAACGAGCCGCATGTGGCTCGAGAGCCGCAGTTTGCTGATCACTGATCTAGGACATAATTATTGGCTTTTTTTTTTTTTAATGTGAAAGTTAGTGGTAGACAGTGTAATGACTGCTAATTTAGTACAGTCTGGTATCACTACTTTAACTCATAATAAGATGTGATTTTACCCCTCATAGCTTTTGCACACACTGTGCAAATATCAACCTAGTAAAAAGGGCAAATAACGTCTTAGTATTATCAGGGAACATCCTAGTGTTATGAGGGTGGACTTTCTTTATGTACTTCAACCAAGACATTTTGACCTACCATTTTTTTACCTTCTCTCACTCTTCCCAGGTCATAGAGGCTTCCTTATTGTTTCTCAGGAAGGCCACTTACATTCTCCTTTCAGGGCCTTTACTTTTAACTAGTCCTGATATTTTTCCCCTGGTATCCTCATATCTTATTTCTCACTCTCTTTTGAACTTTGCTCAAATACCATCCCATCCAAGAGGCCTACCCAGACCACACCTTATAAACCAACCAAACACAAATTTTTAGATAAAAAGAATTTGGATGAATTGGATAGAATTCTATTTTCGTGTCTCTTGGTTTTAAAGGTGGATATGCTGGATCATATGGTTGGCATATATGTAACATAGGAGAAGCTTTCAGATCAGTCTCCAAAGTGATTGTATCATTTTTCACTTTCACTAAGGTAGTATAGGAGTTCTAGTTGTTCACACCCTTTCAATATTTTGTGTTATCTTTTTAATTTTATCTATCTCATGGTTTTTAATTTGCATTTTCCTGATGATGAATAATGTTAAAGAATGCTTATATGCTTATTGGCCATTTCCATATCTACCTTTGTGAAGTCCCTATTCAAATTTTTCATCCATTTTTTTTTAAAGGTGGTTTTTGTCATTTTTTTCTAACATTCTGTATTACATATTTTTCTACTCCTCTATATATCTGTCAATCTATTTTATTTTTTATGTATTTCACAGTAAGTAGCAGGCATAAGTACATTTTATCCTTTAACTAGAGTTTGATGTTAACATAGGGCTTTTTCTTTTTAAGGTAGAATATACATACTTCTGTACAGATAGGAGTTCTTTATATTCTAAATTCAAATTCTTTCCCAGATATACATATGTATTGTGAATATTTTCTCCTAGTCTGTGGTGTGCCTATTTATTTTCTTATTATTGTGTTTTGATGAACAGTTTTTATTGATTTTGTTTCATTAATTTTTTTCCTTTTATAGTTAATTCTTTCTCCTGTTTAGTGAATCTTTGCCTGTACCAGGGTTGCCAATATATTCAGTCTCTGTGTTTTCCTCTAGAATTTTTGTAAATTTTATCTATGCTCTGTCTCTGATTTTATGTATATGGTGTGAGGTAGGATTCAAGGTTTGTTTGTTTTTTCTTTAGATAACCAGTGATCCCAGTACCATTTATTAAAAATACTTTACTCATTTCATTGTTTTGATGCTTTAGTCAAAAATCAATATGCTATGTTAGTATGGGTCTATTTCTGGACCTTAGCCTGTGCGTTGATATATATTATATTAGCTTGATTACTATGGATCCCAGTGAGTCTTGATATCAGATAGTGTAAATTTTCACTTTTATTCTTTTTCAAGATTGTTTTGCTAGCCTACATCTTCTGCCTTCTTATATAAATATTAGAATTACCTTGTTAATTTTTCCCCCATCATCTCCTTACCCCAAAAAAGTAAGATATTGAATGGCATTGCACTGACTCTATAGATCAGTTTGGGGAGAATTGATATCATAACAGAATTGTCTTCCAATCCATAAATATGATATATCCATATATTTAGCTATTATTTAATTTCTGTCAGCAGTGGTTTATAGTTTTTTGTGTAGGGATTCTGTATAAGTATACCTCTGCATATTTCAAATTTTTAAATTCTGTAATGGCCTTTTCCTAAAAATTATTTATTTTATGTATGTAGAAATTGATGGTTATATGTTCACTTTGTATAACTATCCTAAATTGACTCACTAACTCTAGTAGGTGTTTTTTGAAGATTTCTTAAGATTATTTGCATATGCATTTTTGTCACTGACCAAAAAAAAGAAAAGTATACCTTTTATTTTCTTTATTTCATTGGTTAGGACCTCCAGAATAATGATAAGAATGGACATCCTTGCATTGTTTCTGCTCCTAGGGGGAAAGCATTAATGTGTTTACTTTTAAATATGAAGTACTGTGTGTTCTCATAGATGCCCTTTATCAGTGTGAGATATTTTCCTTCCCTAGCTTACTAAGGATTTTTATAAATAATGTTAAATTTTATGAAAACATTTTTGATGAGATAATTATATGATTTTTTTCTGTGGGGATTATATTGATTTTTGAATGTCAAACCAACCTTATATTTATGAAACAAATCCCACTTGGTATTTATTTATAATATGTATTTGTTTTAATTTACTAATATTTTAATAGTGATTTTTGTATCAATATTCATAGAGGGTATTTGAATATAGACTTCTTATAATGCCTTTAGCTTGGGCAGTAGCATAACTTCAGAAGTGTTCCTCCTCTTCTCATTTCTTAGTTTGTGTAAAATTGGTATTATTTCTCCCTTAAATGTTTGATAAAATTCACCAGTGAAGCCATCTGGACCTGGAGTTTTCTCTTTGAGAATATTTTTTAATATGAATTCATTTTCTTTAATAGATATAGGACTATCCTGATTTTTCACTTTAGTTTTTTTTTTTTCCTAAAATTTCTATTTGGTAATGTTTTCATTTCCATTTTTTAATTCACATTATTTGTATCTTCCTTCCATTCATATTTCCCTTTAAATTCTTGACCATATTTATAATAGCTATTTTAATGTTTGACTTGTTTTCTGTTAATGGGTCAAATTTTTCTGCTTCCTTACATGTCTAGTGCTTTTTTTAAATCCTCACTCGACGATATTTTTTTTCATTCATTTTTAAAGAGAGGAAGGGCTGGGGGGGGTGGGGGGGGGATTGATTGATGTTAGGGAGAAACATCAGTAAGTTGCCTCCCATATGAGCCCCAACTGGGAATCAGACCCACAGCCTTTTGGTGTATGGGACAATGCTCCAACCAAATAAGCCACCCAGCCAGGGCTCTAGTAATTTTTAATTGTGGGCAATACATTATGTTATATTGCTGAGTACCCATCCTTAATAAAGGGTTGAAATTTGTTACATTAGGCAGTTAATTTACATACTGACCAGCTTGATCCCTGTTTTTGTTAGAGTAGGTTTTATAGCCTTTACTCTAGGGCTAGCTTAGCAGTACTCTAAGGTGTGACCTTTCTATTCATTGTCTCAGGGTATTAAACTTGGACTCTTCATTTTTGGTGCAAAAGTCAAACATTTCCATCCTCTGTGCAAAGTCTCATATTTGTTCAACATACAATTCCAGGGTAAATTTTCTTTCCCAGGTGTGGTAAACTGAAAAATGGGCCCTCAAATAATATCCAGGCCTTCATCCCTGGAACCTGTATTACCTTACATCCCCAAATTGACTTTACTAATGTGATTAAGTTAAAGATCTTTAGATGGGGAGATTATTCTGGATTATCTCAGTGAGATCTAAATGCAATTAATTATATCCTTATAAAAGGGAGACAGAGAGATTTCATACACACAGAGGAGAAGACATTGTGACCATGGAGGCACAGAGTGAAGTGATGAAATCACAAATCAATGAATACTGGATGCCAACATAAGCTGGAGAGGCAAGGAATGAGTTCTTTTCTCCCTCCCTTTAGAACAGGGATGGGGTATGTCCAGCCAAGGCCATATAAGGCCCACGAAATCATTTGGTCTGGCCCTGCCAAGGCATTAGAAGTGAGTTCATTAAATGTTTGACCAAATATAGCAGGCTGACTTTTAAGTTGATAATTGTGTATGGCCCATGAATCCTCCTATATAATAAAAGGCTAATATGCAAATTGTCCCCTCTACTGGGAGTTTGACCAGGGGGCGGGGCCAGCCAGCCTACTGCCCGTAGCCCCTCCCCCTCCTGATTGGGGCAGGCAGGCCAGACCCCACCCATGCACGAATTTGTGCACCAGGCCTCTAGTAATGTTATAAATATCCAAATGGCCCTTGACAGAAAAAAGTTCCCCAACCCTGCTCTAGAGGGAGGGCAGCCCTGCTGACACCTTGGTTTTGGTCCAATGAAATTGATTTCAGACTTCCAGCATTATAAGAGCATAAATTCCTATTGCTTTAACCTACCAATTAATTTGTTACAGCAGCCATAGGAAACTAATGCACAGGTAATTGTTCTCCTGGAAATCGTTATTTTTCCCTTGACACTGTGGACTCACCCTGCACATGTGCAGCCTGGTATTCAGCCAAAGATTCAAGGTGACCCAATATGTAGATCCTGAATTCCTTTGTGTATCTCCCTTGCTTTGGTGTCTTGACCCATGAATTTTAGCCACCTCTGGAACCCAAACTTTTAAATTGTCTCTTCAGTGCATTGAGACTGGGTGCTCTTAAAGATTCCTCCAGTCAGAAGATGGGCATTCGTAGAGCTCACTTCATTTGGTTTTCTTTTCTCATGCATCACATCCCTGTGCTTTGACGTGTTCACTGTTTCCTATTTTGTCCCATTTTAAAGTGGCCTGCAGTAGGAGGGCTAGTTAGGTACCAGTTACTCCCTTATGTTCAGGAATGGAATAACCTGCTCCCTTTTTATCCAATATATAATATTAATCCTTTATTATCTGGCACCACTCTAGAATGTAACATCCATGAGAGCAGAGGCTCTCTTCTTCATGGCTATCTCTCCAGCTTCTAGAACTGCCTGACACACAATTTGGTGTAATAAGTGTTTGCTGATTGAGTGAATGAATGAATGTTGACAAGAAGCAGGGCTGACTTTCCACCAAAGAAGCCATAAAGGCCAGGTATTTGTTTTACTAGCATGCTTTATGGTGGACATCAGAACTATAGTCAGATATGCTCACCTGGGATTGGGATCATGAACTGGTGACTCAATAGAATACATTTTGGAGACTGAAACATCCACACCTGCACCCTGTTACCAGGGCAGTGGCCTGCCTGGTGTCCTCTGTAGTGTCCAGTACTATTTAGCCCTCTGAGCAGCAGCGTCATTTTTATTAGGACAGTTTTGTAGCGTGATTTTGGTTTTAGGTCGACTACCTATCTACCCTTGTTTCTGCCCATCTTCTAGTTCTCATCCAGCTTTCCCAGTGATTCTGTGAGATACCCAGTATTTTTACAGTAAATTCCTTCTATGCTTAAATCATCCAACGTTAGTCATGTTTGTAGCTAAGAGTTCTGACTAATAAACTATTTTAAAACTGCCCAGGACTCTGATTTCACAGTATTTAATAAGAACTAGGTGAGTGGTGTAAACATCAAGGATATTTTGCTTTAAATATGGAAAATCCATGTTTACTATAATAGGTCTCTACCTTGTGCATTTATGTAAATCAGATGTAGTGTTCAAAAGAGGCTATGACTCCAGCCAGCAGTTCCTGCCTCCTAATGTGTTTGCCGGACACATTAATCAGTTTTTATTTCTAACCCTAGATTAGAAATCTTATTGTATTTTTACTTGATTCTACTGAGAACTGTAAGATTGATTTTTCACTTGAAATCTTGACTTATATTTGCTTTGCTTTGTTATAAGTAGACATGCTATTAATACAGGTTTATTTTCCCATTTAGGAGTTTCATAATAGAAGAGCAGAGTTTCTTGTTATGTGAAGATCTTCTCTATGGAAGAATGTCATTCAGAGGATTTAATCCTGAGGTTGAGGTATTAATATAATTACTTTAAATTTAAAATTTTTCCAATTGAATTCTTTCTGCTAATAATTGGGTTTAGGTTTTCCCCCCCCCCAGGTACCATTTCTCCTTATTATATGGAAAATAACAAATCTTGAAATACTGCCATAGCTTTTTAAAGAAATTGCAGGCATTGCAGTCTAGTTTTATGGTGGAATTGAGTAGATAATTTACTATAGCAGTATAAGTTCTTAACAGTGCCACTGTAAGTGCTAGAATTTCAGCTCAGGTCTTTTATAGTAACATCAGGATTTTATTCATGTGATGCTATTATTAAAAATTATTCTCTGGCATCTATAAATGAATCTTTGCTACTGGAAAAAAGTGTTACTTAAAAATTGAGTAATTTGACTTTTTAATGGACAGGTTTTGATCCAAACTTGTAAATAGATTTTTAAAAGAATCCTTTGGTAAGTTGGTTTGAAAAGTAAAATAGTCGCCTTATAACTGCTCTGTTCATTTGAATTTTCCTGCCTCGGGTTTTTAAAGAAGCACAGGCCTTCACTTAACAAATATCAGAATTCTGGTTGTATAGTAAAAGCCATCCTATCAGATACTTGACCAACCAAATGGAGGTCTGTGATATAAAGCTTTAGTTTTATGACACTTAAAGCCAGGGTTTCTCAGCCCTGGCACTGTATGATGTATTGAGCCAGATTGTTCTTTGTGGTGGGGACTGTCCTGTGCACTGTAGGATGTTTAACAGCATCCCTGGTCTGTATTCTCTACTCCCTAGACGCCAGTAGTGTACACACACACACCAATTGTAACAACCAAAAATGTCTCCAGACATTGCCAGAGGTCCCCTGGTGAGCAGAGTCTCCCTGGTTGAAAACCACTTCCCTAAAGATGCCTGTAGACAACCACAGCTAACCAAGTTAATTGCCAAAGTTTATTTTTAAAGATTCTAGTTTAATTTTCTCCCCCTCCTCCCTCTTTTTAAAGGGTATGATAATTAAGCTGTTAAATTTACTTTACACAAAATCAACACTAAAAGTGTTTGTTTTTACTATATGCTTTCCTTGCTTTGGCCTGCTTACAGCTTTAGATTGGGAAAAGAAAATGGGCAGTGGAACAAAGGAGGGGGAAAAGCAGATAATGAGTGTGTTATACTCAAAGACTGGGGCTGTGGGTGGACAGGCACTCCAAAGTATGTCTGGTTTGTGGGAAAAGGAGTTGATTCGGCCTCAGAATTTAATGGGACTCTGTACCATTGGGTACATTCTCTCTGGGGGAAAGTTTTGAACTGTTTGGTTTGTACATCTGAGCTGTCATAAAATGTGAGAAAAGTTTGATATACTTGTTTATGAAAAGAATGATACCTACTTGAGAGCACTTTATTATAAGCAGGATGTATTTAGAACACATGTTTAATATTGTATGTGTTTCTAGTAACACCTGGCATAGAGTTTATTTTGTCAGTACATATTTATTCTGTGCCTGTGGTGTATCAGCCCTCTAGAAGCACTGGAAATGCAGCAGGGAACCCAAGTGTATGCCCTCATGGAGTTTGTATTCCCAAAATTATTTTATGTTTAGTCCTTTAAATGTTGGAAAAGCTAATTGAGACTAGTTTCTCGTCTGCTTTCCCTTCCTTGTTCTACCTTTGCTATAAAGTAAGTATTATACAGTAAAAATAAAATCTGTCAGAGGGTAACTGTCAAGTAATGGTTAATGTGAGATAAAAAGATGGAGAGAGGCCCATGACGCATGGACATCATAGGGGATACATTATCCACCCTCGTGTTTGGAGGTGAGGCAGGTCCTCCCCATTATACCAAGGCCCACTATCCAGTTCTTCCATCCAGCAATTTGCTGCCCCACAACCACCACCACCATTTAAAAAAAAAAAAGCATTTAAAATTACTCTTGACTCTAATACTTCTTACATTTGGCTCAAAGGTGGGAATTTTGGAGGAAATCTGAAAGTTTACTTTTTCTTTCCCCTACTCACTAGAATGTGTTAGCAGTGTGTCTGTTTTAATTTTAATTCTAATTTTTTAATTACAATTGACATACAATATTATATTAGTTTCACGTGTCCACCCCCATGATTAGATATTTATATAACTATGAAGTGATCACCTCAATAAATCTAGTAACCATCTGATACCATACATAGTTATTAGAATACTAGGGGCCCAGTGCACAAAATTTGTGCACAGGTGTGATCCCTAGGCCTGGCCGGTGATCAAAGTGTGAGCATCTGGCATGGAAGGGCAGATCCCAGCTGACCTCTGGGCCCTGGGCAGCACCTGGGTCCCCAGACTCCCCTATACCCCCTCCACCTGAGTCACAGCATCTGAGTCCCCACGCGGAGATGTGATGAGCACAGCCTGATGCCCTGGGCCGGGGCACAGCTGGCCTCGCAGACCGGCTCCTGCGGGAACCAACAGGGAACCCTACTGGCCCCTGTGGTCCCAGCGGCTGCAGCCCGGCTCACCCAGAAGAGGCCACACGCTCCCAACACCGCTGGTCATCGTTTGCAGGGCGATCAGCGGGGCGATTGGGCCCTGCTCCCACCCACCTTGGCCTGGCATCACCGGCTCACCTGCTCTACCATCCTGCCATGGTCCCGCTCTTGTCAGGGCCCATTGGGGCCGGCAGTGCCTCCATTGCCACCCGCTGCCAGTGCCACATCGCTGATGCCTGCCATGTTCCACGCTGCCACATGATGGTCAGCGTACATCATAGCAAGCGGTCAAACTCCTGGTCAAGGGGGCAATTTGCATATTAGGGTTTTATTATATAGGATTATTGACTACATTCCCTGTGCAGTATTTTACATCCCCATGATTATTCTGTAACTACCAATTTGTCCTTCTTAATCTCTTCACCTATCTCCCCAACCACCCTCCTATCTGCCAGTGGTCAGCATGTTTTCTACATCTATGCATCTATTTCTGTTATGCTTGTTTGTTTATTTTGTGTTTTAGATTCCACATATAAGTGAAGTCATCTGACATTTGTTTTTCTATCTGACTTTATTTTTGTCTTTCTGTCTCTAGGTCCATCTATGTTTTTATAGATGGCAAGGTTTTATTCTTTTTTTTATGGTTCAGTCATATTCCATTATATATATGCACCACTTCTTTATCCATTCATCTATTGATAGACACTTAGGTTGCTGCCATATCTTGGCTATTTATATATATATATAAAACCCTAATATGCAAATAGACCAAATGGCAGAACAACAAAACAGCCAGTCACTATGATGTGCGCTGACCATCAGGGGGTGTGGGCGGAACATGGTGGGTGTCAGCAGTAGGCAGCAGAGCGTGGAACATGGCAGGCATCTGCCATGGCAGGATGATAGAGCAGGTGAGCAGGGGCGCCAGACCAAGGCAGGACTCCAGTCGCTGTCATTGGGGCATGCCTCTGCTGGTTACTGAAAATTCTTTGTTCCTGCACGCCACAGTCCCTCCCAGCACTTGCACCTGCTGCCGGCGCCAGCCCCTCTCACACCCACTGCCGACACTGAAGCCACCGCCCACAACCGCTGCTGGCGCCGTCAGTGGGTGCGAGTGGCAGCTGCCGGCCCTGATCGCCTCATGTCTCTGCTGGTTACTGAAAATTCTTTGTTCCCGCACGCCATGGTCCCTCCCAGCACTTGCACCTGCTGCCGGCGCCGGCCCCTGTCACACCCACTGCCGACACTGAAGCCACCACCCGTAACCACTGCTGGCGCCGGCCCCACTCGTACCGCTGCTTGCACCATCAGCATGTGGAAGCGGTGGCGGCTGGAGCCGGACTGCCAGGGAACTGGGGGCTGCAACAGAAGGGGCTGGGTGGGGACGCAAAGGATGGGCCGAGACCCGCCCCTGTGCCCACCTCAGCCTCGCAGCCCACAGTTCCTTTCAAGGTGCACAAATTTGTGCACTGGGCCCCTAGTTGTAAATAATGCTGCAGTGAACATGGATATATATGTCTTTTCAATTTAGTGTTTTCAGTTTCTTCATATAAATACCCAGAAGTGGAATTGCTGGTCTTCCTTTGTCTCTTATTATAACCTTTGTTTTAAAGTCTATTTTGCTGGTATAAGTATTGCTTCTCCAGATTTTTTGTTTGTTTGTTTCCATTTTCATAAACTATCTTTTTCTATCCCTTTTAGTTTGTGTGTGTCTTTTGGTCTGAAGTTAGTCTCTTATAGACAGAGTCTATTTTGCTGGTATAAGTATTGCTTCTCCAGATTTTTTGTTTGTTTTCCATTTTATAAACTATCTTTTTCTATCCCTTTTAGTTTGTGTGTGTCTTTTGGTCTGAAGTTAGTCTCTTATAGACAGTATATGTAACAGTCTTGTTTTCTTATTCATTCAGCCACCTTATATCTTTTGATTGGAGCATTTAAACCATTTGCATTTAGTGTAATTATTGATAGATATGTAGTATTTGTTGCCATTTTATTTATATTTTTATCTTTTGTCTTCTTTTTCTTATAATACTGTTTTGGTAGTGATGAACTTTTTTAGCTTTTGTCTAGGAAGCTCTTTACCTGTCCTTTAATTCTAAATGATAGCTTTTCTGGGTAGAGTAATTTTGGTTGTAGGTCCTTGGTTTTCATCACTTTGAATATTTTGTGGCAGTCCCTTCTGGCCTGCACAGTTTCTGTTGAGAAATCAGCTGACAGTCTTATGGGAGCTTTCTTGTAGGTAGGTAACTGCTTTTCTCTTGCTGCTTTTAAGATTCTCTCTTTGTCTTTAACCTTTGACATTTTAATTATGGTGTGTCTTGGTCTGGGCCTCTTTGGGTTCATATTGTTTGGGACTCCCCATGCTTCCTGGACTTGTATGTCTGACACCAGGTGAGGGAAGTTTTCTGTCATTATTTTTTTCAAATAGGTTTTCAATTCCTTGCTTGCTTCTCCTTCTGGCACCCCCATGATGTGAATGTTGGTACATTTCAAGTTATCCCCGAGGCTCCATATACTATCCTCATTTTTTTGTATTCTTTTTGCTGTTCTGATGTCTGTTTTCTGCTTCCTTAACTTCCAAATAGCTGATTTGATCCTCTACTTTATCTACTCTACTGTTGATTCCCTATAATGCATTCTTCATTTTAGTTATTGTACTCTTCATTTCTGACTCGTTATTTTTTGTTTTCTTTCTCCATTTTTATGTGTCCTATCTCTTTGTTGAAGTTGTCACTAAGTTCATCTACTCTTCCCCAAAGTTCATTGATTATCCTTATAACCAGTGTTTTAAACTCTGCCTCTGGTAAATTGCTTGACTCCATTTTGTGTAGTTCTGTTTCTGGAGTTTTGTTCTGTTCTTTTATTAGGGACATGGTTCTTTGTCTCCTAATTTTATCTGTATCCCTGTGTTTGTTTCTATGTATTAGGTAGATCTGCTACATCTCCCAGTCTTGATTGCCTTATGTAGTGGGTGTCCTCTAGGGCCCAATGGTGTAGCCTCCCCAATCACCTGAGCTGGGCACTCCAACTGTGCCCCCTGTGTGGGCTATGTGAACCCTGTTGTAGTTGAACATTGACTGCTATTGGCATGTCAATGGTGGGAATTTACCCCCAGGTTAGTCATCTTCAAGGACTGGCTGAGACCAGCATGGAGGATCTGCTATATAGGGATTGACCCCACAAAGCAGGTCTTGCTTCAGCGGGTCTTTGGTGCCCACTAAGTTCGCCTCTTGAGTGTGTTACTCATGGAGGTGGTTGGGTTGTAAACTGGCATGGTCTGAAAGCTGTCCAGTGGGTGTGCTGGCTCTGGGGCCTCTCAGGAAGTACAGACCAAGGCTAGCAACTGCCTGTGCCCTGCCTTGGACCACAGTATGAACTGCAGAACAATTTGCAGATGACTGCTACATGTGTGGGCTTGGAGGAGCCCAGGAGGGGCCAAGCTTCGAACCTAGGCTGGCTGCTACTAGTGCTGGGCCTGGGGCCACTTAGCAAGAAATACAGATGCTGCTTGTTTGAGAGATTTTAAGAAAGTCCACAGCATGAGCCAAGACAGGCTATTTGTATGGAAAAGCTGCTGGAAATGGCTTGTGTGGGCCCACAAGTTGGATGAGGCAGGGAGAACAGTGTTTTAGCCAGGTTGATGAAGACTTAGATACTGTGCCCACTTGCCAGCTTTGTTGAGGCGAGGGCTCAGCAAAGGAACAGTGGCCTCTGCCAGCACTCTGGTCTGGGAGAAAGCCCTTACGCTGGTGCCAGACATTCATTTTCTCCCTGTATGTCCCTGGAGCTTTTCAAGTTGCTGCCCCAGAGCTGGAGCTCAGGGCAAGTGAGTCTGAGTAAGTCCATGTGCAGGCCCTTTAAGAAGAACACCTGGAACTATAGTGGCCTCTGTGTCATCAGCCACAATTTCCCCTGGTTTTTACAGCCAGAAGTTATGAGGACTACTTTTCCCAGCACTGGAACCCTGGGGCTGGCAGGACTGGTGTGAGGCTGGGGCCCTTTGCTCATCAGGTGGGACCTCTGCAGCTGAGATATCTCTCCCAATTTTTTTAACCACCACACATTGGTGTAGCAGTGTGTCTGCTATAGATATGAGTAACTAATAATAAGATTTATGATCTAAAATACAATTTAATTGACAAGTCTAATCTAATGGGGCTTTCTCTTACTGTTTTTAATTCAGAGCAGACTTGTGTTAGTACAGCGTGGAATAAAGTAGTACAGAAAACTGCTTATGAATTTTTGTTAGTCCTGTAGAGTCTGACCTCTGCTTCTCAACCTTCAAATACATTGGAAACCAGTTCCTTTCACAAGCCTTTTTCAGCCCTGTTGGCCATGTTGGTGTATTTTTCAGAAATTAATGCTTCAGATGAATGCTAAGAACAAAGCAGAAGAAGTTGAAGATGAAACAGTGGAGCTTGATGTGTCAGATGAAGAAATGGCTAGAAGGTAACCATTACCTTGGGACAACTTTGTGACCTGTGCCCAGCATTCACTGGCTCTCACATGTGTACTTCTCTTACCCCATGGTCTACCCCAGCAGGAAAATGACTGTTTCTACTTTCTCTGACATGACCTGAGGTGGATTCATACTGTCACAGGCTGGCAGTTGAGGGCTCATTTCCAGTGCTGTTTCCAATGCATATTTGAATATACATCTCAATTTACTTAGGATAATACAAAAAGAAAAAATAGGGGAGAATTTAATCATTCTTAGAGAAGTTTATACGTTTTTAAATCAGGTGGCTTATTTTAATCATAGTTTTGATTTTTCTTATTCTTTGTTTCATTTTATTTTCTTTTTTTTATTGATATTTAGAGAGAGGAAAGGAGAGAGATAGAGAAATAGAAACATCAATAATGACAGAAAAACACTGATTGGCTGCCTCCTACAGCCCTCTCCCCCTACTGGGGATAGAGCCTGCAACCCATGCTTGTGCCCTGACCAGGAATCGATCCAATGGCCTCTTGGTTCAAGGGTCGACACTCAACCACTGTGAGCCACACCTGCCAGGCCTTTGTTGCATTCTTGATAAGACTTGATTCCTGCCTTTTTTATTTGGAATTAAATTTGTGCTATTTATCATCTTAACAGATATGAGACCTTGGTGGGGACAATTGGAAAAAAGTTTGCCAAGAAAAGAGACCGTGCCAATTATGAAGAAGATGAAAATGGAGACATAAAACCAATTAAAGCAAAGAAGATGTTCTTAAAGCCCCAAGATTAAAATGTATGCCTTAAGATATGGCTCAGAGATGCCTTGTAAGAGTTAACATATTTTGGAACTGATTTCATTGGTTTCTCTATAGTGATTAATATTGTAATGTTTATTTGTAAAGAAAGGTATAATTTTGGAAACATGCTGTTTTTGAAACAGATGTATGATGGATGTTATACATCCTTTGCTTAATATGGTATTCATCAAGAGTGGATTTTTAGCCCTTGATCTTCAAATGTACAAAGGCAATGTTTGCTTCCTAAAATTTTTTTTACCCCACATTATTTTTAAATATATCTTTTCAATTGCTGACCTTAAATTGACACATAACTTAATAATAGTGTTTAAATTGTCCTTGTGTTTGCATTTTACTTTAAATTATTAATGTTAAGTCATTTCATACATTTTGGAATCAAATGTCGTGAGAATTTATTCTACGTAAATTCATCAAGAACAAGCATGCCTCTCTAGCCTAAAATATTTGCATTCGACCAAATCAGTCAGTTTGTGGAATTAAGCGGTTTTGTTTAAAGCTTTTAATTAATAAGAAAAAATAATGTTCTGTAATAAACATCTGTTTTCATATATTTTTCTGTTATCTTATACTTTCAAATAATAATTTTAATTAAATTCAGTATTGGAACTTTAAAAAAACGAGCCACTAATTTAGAAGATGGTGGTATAATTAGATTGAACTGTAGAAATTTACTTCTATGAGTCAAAACCATCAACATTTTATAGTATAGCTCAGTAGAATTTGCCACCCCCCAGATTATCTCCTAGTCTGAACCTTATTCTCAGTAGTAAGTAGAGAAGCCCGTGGAATTTAGTGTATGTATGTGTGTGTCTCTGTCTGCCTGGAGATACGTACCTAGGACTTCATTTCATTTTGTTCCTAGCAATACACCTTATAGCTCTCTACATCCTGGGACAGAAGCCAGAAGTTCTCGGTGCTTTGCCAGCACCACAATCCATTAATTTATGGAATGTCTTATTCACCCTTGTTCTGCACAGCATTACTTTTGATAACCGAACCCATTTCATAAAAAATTAGTGGGGCAATGGGTTTGTGCCTCTGGAATTCACTGCTCTTTGCCCATACCCCACATACAGGAGCAGCAGGTATAATAGAATGGTGGAATGGTCTACTTAAGACTCAGTTATGGCCCAAAGTGGGACACAAAACTCCATCTTACAAATTCTATGCTTTGAATCAGTGACCACTTAATGGGGCTGTTGATCTCATTAGAATAAATGGTCTGGAATTAAGCAGAGGTAGAGAAAGTGGCGCCTCTCACTGTTCCTCCCAGTAACACATTCACAAATGTTTTGCTTCCTATCTCCTCAGTGTTGCGTTCTGGAGGTCTGAGTTTGCAAGGGAGGAGTGCTCCCACCAGGGAACACGAGTATTCAGACAGAAATTGAAACAATCTGGTCATTTTGCCACTAAACCAGTAGGCAAAGGTGTTTCCTCTCCTGGCTGGTACAGGAGAACGAGGGCATTCGTGCTGTTTCTACATGGTGGGTGACGGAGAATGACACGTGGAACCCAGGGGCATCTTGTAGCACTTCAATGTCCACTGACAAACTTGAATGGAAAACAACCACCTCAGAGGCAGGAATGATGTAGACCCTTTAGACAATGAAGTCTTGGGTTACCTTATGAGGTATAAACCCAACAGATCCTGGCTGAGGGGAGAGGAAAATGAATATGAAGAGGGAGAATGAAGATTATTAACTACAGCCTTGTGATGAATTAATTATAAGTTACTGAGCAGTTATGCATATTTTCTTCCTTGCTGTGTGTGTACTAATTTTTTCTCACTTCTCTTACCATATATGGGATTTAGAGGGTTAACTTTGCTAATAAATAGTTGTTTTTCTTGTAGGAAGTTTAATCATGTTTAGAAGTGCATGCATGTGGATGTAGAAAAGCCCAAGGAGACAGACTATAGTAGACATTAACTTGTTTCTCAGACTCAAGCTCACCCTTCTATATAGCTTTTGGTGCTGGTCTGGGACTCAGCAAACCCCATTTCTCCTTTGCCAGCTGGCTGGCTTCTTACTGGATGGGCCAATGGAAGCCCAGAGGGAGATGACAAGTCTATAGGAGGAAGGAGGAGCATAATCCTTTCTGTCTGCTTCTTCCTCTGCTTTCCCCTAAACACCTCTTCCCTCCAGCGGAGGCTGGTGTTTCAGTTACAGTCATTGATACCAACTACTCAGCGCTTAGATTTCTGCCCAGTACTCTGGCCCATAGGACACCTCCATTCAACTCAGACACGTGTTAATCTTACCAGGGGTGTTGAGCTTCAACTCTAGGGTGTCTTCGGGCTTCTAAAATTGAGCAATTTCAGCCCCTTTCCTAAGAGTGACAGCTTCCTGCATGATACCTTAAATGTTCTCTTTTTCCTTTTTTTAGATCTTTAATACCCAATTAACAATTCTTTACATTGAATTTCCTCTGTTGAAATAAGGGTGGCTTTTATCTCCTGACTAGATTTCTTCCAAAGCTGTGAAATCCTGGGTTTAATAGTCTTGAAATACTTCTTTTTTTAATTTGCATTCAAGTTTACAGCTATGAAAGTAAAAATGTTCAGCCACTTACAACTGCCTGGAAGTGTTCTCATGTGACCTGTAGTTAGTTTACCACATTTGGAAAACACTGCCCCAGCGCAATAACATCCATTGACTTGGTTGTTGTTTCATTCATGTTCATCTCCTTAGTTGTCAAGCTACTACTGTTCTCTGAGGTAGAGACTGTATATTTTTTATTTGCTCCTGTACCTAGCAAGGAATGTGACCCATATTAATGCTTTTAGTAAATGTTTCTTCAGTGAATGAATAAATGAATGAATGATAGATGGTTTGGAAATCACCTAGCCTACAAAGCCTATTTGAACCACAGTGCTGCCCAACAGGCAAGGCTCAGCTGTTGAGCATCAACCTATGAACCAGGAGGTCACGGTTGGTCAAGGCACATGCCCAGGTTGTGGGCTCAATCCCCAGTAGAGGGCATGCAGGAGGCAGCAATCAATGATTCTTATCATTTATGTTTCTATCCCTCTCCCTTCCTCTCTGAAATAAAAAATATATTAAAAAAATAAAAAACACAGTATTGTGGAAATAAAGACTAACCAAATGGAAAAAAAAAAAGAATATTCAGTACATGCTACAGAGCAGGGGACTCAGCCACCATCATTTGTGTTTTGGCAGATTCAAAATCAGGCAGAGGAATGGGAAAGCCTTATTGTGGGGGAAAGAAAAGGGAAGGCTTCAGGTTTGCCTTGATTGGAGGCTGTTGACATGACGAAGCTGTAGGTGGCTAATAGAAGCAGGATATGCTAAGTGATTGGTTAGATATGCATATTTGACTTTCTGGTTGGTCCTAAGTTAGAAATGGGGACAAAAATTAGGGAACTTATCAGTTATTAATAAATCTTTATCTTTTGGAGCTAATTGTTATAGAAGTTATTGTTTAGCATCGTAGATTGTCACTAGAGATATACCATCTGGCTTTCTGCAAGGCTGGAGTTTAGATAAGGGGTTGGTTTCTTGGGCAGGTTGCTGCAGGTTATGGGTCAAAGTTCTATTTTTATAGATAGCCTAGCCATTGTCCATTTGTATATTCAGTCTTTCAGTGCTTAAGTTTATTTCTAATCATACTATAAAATACAACTGTTTGATCATGATTCTGTGGAAATACGCACTCAATTTAAGAAGTGCCACCAGTGGGATTAGGGATGTTTGTGGCTCTAGCAATTGGCAAAGTTGTCTATGCTGGAGGCAGACACTTCAGCATTTAGTGCCCCAGGAACAATGTCACCAAATCAGGCAACTGAAAACTTTTGTTATTCCAGATCTTGTGGAGGAAAACTTAGCCAATACCATTGACTAATGGATATAGAATTCAATTCAAAAGATAATCATCATTTCACTTAACGATTCGCTAGAATTATGTAAGTTGATTAACTTTATCAAAGAGAAGATGTAGCTATAATAGTAGTCTCAAGAAAATCCCTAGAGAACTTTCACTTTGTAATATGTATTTTATGAAGATATCCATTTCCCCTGAAACAGTTGCCTAATGAAATGTGTTGTCAAATGAAACACATTTTCCCAATCCCGGCCTCAGAGAACACACAGGTGCCATGTCATTTAGTCCAAGGTATGTTGGAGCTTCTAAAAGAGTCTGTGGCCTGACATGCCTTCTTCCTGTAGGAATATCCTTACATGAGTACTTTATTAATAAAGTATTTGGTGGTTCTGTAAGTGCTTGTAAACTATAAGCATCTCACTACACGTAAGTTCTCATTTTAATTTTAATCATCATGAAATCATTAATCCATAAATGTACCCTGTTTAGCTCTGTTTGGACAAAGAAATCATTTGCACAGAAAGGATACCACTTTCCAAACCAACACCTCAATTTTATATCCTAGAGTTTCCTCAACATATTTTGCTTGTTTTCTGTCTGAAGCTGTATTTTCACTTGCCCCAAGAAAAAAATATGCCCTGGGTTTCAGATATTCATTTTACAGCAGGAGCCCTGGACTTGTTTGTACAGTCACACTGTTCTCCGTACAGTATATTTATTCTGGATGGTATCGCTTGCTAAAATCTCTTCCGTCAGCATTGGGTGTGAGAAAACCCTGCCTTCTCATGATTAGCAGGGGCAATCCTATGCTATTGCAAAATTGCAACAGGATCGAACAAGACCATTCAGATAACGAAGATGACAATCTGACAAATATTGGCAGGCCATGATTTCCAATGACTTCTCTCCCACGCACAGCAGGCTCTCACACCCACGTCCCTTTCTCTGACCTCTGCCCTGATCATTGTCCCAGAGTCTCCTCCCTCATACAACACCCGTGTCAAATGGATTCCATCCTTGACCCTGACACTTCTCTGTTCCCATCTTGGATTCTCATTTGACCTCAAGGGGATGTCACAGTCGAAAAGGAGGATAACATAGGATCAAGTCTGCAGTTCAAATCAGACCAGATTCTGGAGTCAACAGTAACTGAAAACCTAGATCAGGAGTGTGCAGCACAAACCTACACTTAACCCTCAGAGATTCTATCAGGTATTTATTCAAGAAGGGAGCTGATAAAGATGGGACTAAGATGTTAGCTGGAGGAAAATAAAGCAAGGTGGAAGCAGCTGCTCTGCTAGATAATTCCCCAAAAGAGTAACTACTGTGATATGTGAAGGACATCTGTCTTTTTGTTTTGTTTTTGTTTAGGAGAGAGAGAGAAACATTGATTTGTTGTTCCACTTATTTATGTATTCATTGGTTGATTCTTGTATGTACACTGATGGGGGATTGAACCCACAACCTTGGCATATTGAGAGGATGCTCTAACCAACTGAGCTACCAGGCCAGGGCCAAGGAGATCTATCGTTAAATGTCAGCCATGTACTGGGAAGATTGCTGACATTATTCATTTGACTCGGCCAGGCACTGAATTATGGGCTGGAGGTGTAAAGTATTCTATTTACCCACAAAGAAACTGAGGCACAGAGTCATTCAATAACTTGCCTAATGTCACACAGCTGTTAAGTGATGGAGCCAGGATCTGAACCCAGATTCACTGACCTCAAGTCACATGCCCTTTCTCTTATATCACACTGTAGAGAGAAGCAAAAGAATAGAATTGGGAAACAGGAATAAAATAGCCTAGGTCAGCCGTGGGCAAACCACGGCCCGCGGGCCGGATCCGGCCCGTTTGAAATGAATAAAACTAAAAAAAAAAAAAAAAGACCGTACCCTTTTATGTAATGATGTTTACTTTGAATTTATATTAGTTCACACAAACACTCCATCCATGCTTTTGTTCCGGCTCTCCGGTCCAGTTTAAGAACCCATTGTGGCCCTCGAGTCAAAAAGTTTGCCCACCCCTGGCCTAGGTCCATAAGATCCTAATATGTTCCAAACAGAATCTTTCAAAATCATATTGTATTGCCTGACATTTTTAATATGCCTTTTTTATAGATTGGCTTCTTACAGATGAAATGAATTAAATTCACATTAGCAATCACTTTTTGACAAATGGTTAACATTATAAATAGGATATTCTCAATATTAATGATTCCATATTAAGAAAGATTATACACACAAATCTATGGTAACAAAAAACATTAGGAAAACAATTATTTGATGAGTGCTCAATCATCACAAATTCATTTAGGTCATATTCTATAAAATATCCAATATGAAAGCAAGGATTATGCCTCAGTATTTTTTTTTGGGGGGGGGGGGGGTCTGGTTCCAACCCAAGTTCCTCATTTAGAGCACTATAAAAAGAAGATGTTTAAAATAATAATGAATAGAATGAAAATTATTTTCCTATTTACCCAACCTCACATAAATGTTTTTTGTGACTCTCTTCTGTGAATTTGTTTAATAAATATTGGACTCCTTAAAGAGTTGGCATACTTCACTATTTCCCAAGATAATTCTATCTGTGAGCATGTATTCACAAACTCAAAATCTTCAGTTGTTCAAAGCTCAAGAGTAAGGAGTACAATATTAGTATTTTCTCCAGGAAGTCAGAATTATGAAATTCTTAGTCTGAGGGTGTATTTCTTCCTTCTGATTTAATCCAGGCACCCAATTCTACGCTCTTTTGTCAAGTGGGAGATGCAAAGCATTTAAGGCTAGTTCTTCCAGGAAATTACCTCAGGACCTGCTGTATCTGGTTAAACTGCCTGGAAACTATCCAAGCAGAACATTAAAAGAGACAAATGACTTCTTCTGGCTGTCTATGGTAAAATACAAACCAGATATAGAGACATACTACTGAAAGAACAATTTTGTTTTGTAGCAGAATTGTGAGGGCCCAGCATGGTCTTTATGGCAAGCAAAGAGTTCTCAAAGTAAAAAAAATGCAAAGATCAAGTCTGAAAAGTTACCAATAAAATTTGGTCTCAGTTTTCGAGGTAAATCCTCCACGTCTGGGATGCAGCTCTAAAATCATTTTCCCATTTTGAGATGTCAGAAAGACATCTTTGTTATAAGAGATCCTCTATACCCTCTTTGTAATATAAGAGTCCAAGAATCTGAAGGGCACTGTCATTGAGTTTGGGGATGTTTTTTATGCAGCAAAATATAATGAAATACCAACCTGAAACATTTTTCAATCCTACGCGTACAAATTGTGGCATCTCCATGTTTCTTTCATTTGCATTTTTCTAGCTAATAGTGAGTTTGAGAAGCTCTTTTTGAGCCCTTGTGAGTTCCCTGTAAATTGGATGACACAGTTTGGAAGGGGGAAAAGGTTTCTCTGAATTAGCCAGAGGAATCGGCTATATGAGATAAACTACAGTGCAGATATTGCTGGAGAGAAATTTCCAGGGTAGAAAATAATCCCAAAATGCTCGTTTGATGAACTAGTAATGGGGTACAATATTAATACCCCATTGAACAAGTAATGGGGTACAATATTAATACCCCATTCAGGAGATTTATTCAACAGATTATGGCCTCTATCCCCTTGAATTCAGGAATATTGGCATCTGGATTTTTAGAAATTACAATCCAAATGGCCAAATGTACCATTGGGATTGCTTCTACCATCTGTAGCAAAAGTGGCAACGCCGTTATAGCCTTCAGCAGGAAATGAGCAGGAAACCACTGGGTCAGAAGTCTCGCTGGTTAAAAGAAAGTGAAGCTGAAACTGCTCATGTTGAGGCAGAGACAGCTGGATGATGAGAGAGGGTTTCAAAACACCCTCCAGCTCCCATGGATTGGCAGTTAGCAATTTTCAAATCAGGGATTGGATGTTTCCAATGTTTACTAGTATACCTGGGAGAGAAGAACAAAACAAAGAAATACCTGAAGACTCTCTAAGTTTCCTTCTCAAAAATGGAGAG